CTTGCTTCAAAAATCATCAAAAGCACTGTACCTTCTTCTTACCTGAAAGTTCTTCCGGCGCTCTGTTAAATCGCGGGTCTGGATGGCAGGGTACGCTCGCAAGCAGACTCTTGGACTTGCCTGCTGGAAACGTAGAGTCTACATATAAGGTCCTAAACGCTCAGCCGGGCAATGATGCGGAAGTGTTGAAATGTGGATCTGCCTCGCCAGCTTGCCAGTCTGAGGGCAGTGTTCAGATCAACAAAAATTTCTGCTCTACACACAAACTAGCCTAAATCAGAACCACAAACCCTATCAAACCGAAGGGTCTAAACTTGCTAGGGGCGACCTTTACTGTAAAGCCCGATGAAGAAACCCTAAACCCTAGTGCCAAGCCCGTCCAAGGTACCCTAAACCTGAACCCTACACTTATGCAACGTCCCCAAGGGAGCTTGACCGCCGAAGAAGAAGAAGAAGCCCTAAACCTTGTTCCTTAATAACCTTAAACCCTAACTCCCTAAACCCCAAATCCACAAATCCCTGGCATTGAAGGGCCTGAAACCCTGAAACCCTAAAGGCTCCAGAGAAAGCACCCGAAACAAACCCTAAACCCTCAACCCCAAACCCTAAACCTTAACCCCAAACCTTAAACCCCTAAACCCGAGATCTTAACACACCCTAACCCTAAACCCTAAATCCCAACACACCCCAACCCTACACCCTAAATCCTAAACCACCCCCAAAGCCCTTAAAAGCCCAAGGTTGGCCTAAACCCTAAACCCTAAACCCTAAACCCCAAACCCTAAACCCCAAACCCGACCCTGGACCCTAAACCAGCCCAAAACCCTTAGAAGCCCAAGGTTGGCCTCATCCAGCTGGACGACGGTCGCTCCAACGCTTTCGGACACCAGATGTGGCTGGGTGGCAGTTCGTTGCCTCTGTTTAGGGTTTAAGGGCTTCGGGTTTAGGGTTTAGGGTTGGGGTTCAAGGTTTAGGGTAGTGTTTAGGGGTTCCCCCAAGCCCTGAATGCCGAAATCCTTCTATCTTTCTGTCTTGTTTCTTTTTTTTTGCTATCTCTCTCGTTCTCTCTCTCTGTCTCTCGCTCTCTCTCTCGCTCTCTCTCTCGCTCTCTCTCTCTCTCTCTCTCTCTCTCTCTCTCTTTCCCTCTCCCTCCATCCTTTTTGATATGTTTTGTTTGCTCTCTCTCTCTCTCTCTCTCTCGTTCTCTCGCTCAACTTACCAAGCAGCAGCTGGGCAAGACCTGTCCCACGTCGATTTATCGACCTATGTTGCGTTTCTGTTGGATTCAAACTCCCATCCTCGAAACTCAACTATAGTTATCATGTGCCTATTTTCCACCTCAGTGTGATGTGTGTATCTAACCATTGCCTTTAAATTGTTGTCATTTGAACAAACTGTTTCTCATCTTGTCGTATTCGTTGTTTGCAATGATCTACCTAAAATTGCAACAGAGTTGCGATAGTGCACCCGCAATCTCCCTCCTACGGAAGGGAGCCGACTTGATTAACCATTCGGCCGGACATCCCGACATTGATTCTTTCACGGAGTGAAGCTGTGTTTCCAGAGCAGCACTGTCAGTGATTCAGCTTTACTCAGCTCACGCTGATGTGGGCCTTCCACAACCTTGGAGACAGTGTTGTTTTCGTGAGATATTGCTAGGACACAGAGGCTGCGCATTCTGCACCCAGAGTCACCGTGGGGTCCGAGTATGGCCTCCTGGTGCTACGGGCTGCAGAGACTGCATTGCCAACAGCTTCGCTGTGGCCATGCTCTTTTCCCAGCTGGCTTCTTGTGAGCTCTGCTGCTATCACCGCATGAGACAGCCAAGAGTTTGTTACAGTCCATGGTGCTGAAGTGCTTGAAGTTTGTTGTGCGAGCTCCGCTAGTGGCCCAGCATGATGAGACACCTTTCACGACGGTCATATGAGCACTGTCAGTGATTCAGCTTTACTCAGCTCACGCTGATGTGGGCCTTCCGCAACCTTAGAGAGAGTGTTGTTTTCGTGAGATATTGCTAGGACACAGAGGCTGCGCATTCTGCACCCAGAGTCACTGTGGGGTCCGAGTATGGCCTCTGGTGCTACGGGCTGCAGAGACTGCAACAGCTTCGCTGTGGCCATGCTCTTTTCCCAGCTGGCTTCTTGTGAGCTCTGCTGGTATCACCGCATGAGCCAGCCAAGAGTTTGTTACAGTCCATGGTGCTGAAGTGCTTGAAGTTTGTTGTGCGAGCTCCGCTAGTGGCCCAGCATGATGAGACACCTTTCACTTTCACGACGGTCATATGAGCACTGTCAGTGATTCAGCTTTACTCAGCTCACGCTGATGTGGGCCTTCCACAACCTTGGAGATAGTGTTGTTTTCGTGAGATATTGCTAGGACACAGAGGCTGCACATTCTGCACCCAGAGTCACCGTGGGGTCCGAGTATGGCCTCCTGGTGCTACGGGCTGCAGAGACTGCATTGCCAACAGCTTCGCTGTGGCCATGCTCTTTTCCCAGCTGGCTTCTTGTGAGCTCTGCTGGTATCACCGCATGAGACAGCCAAGAGTTTGTTACAGTCCATGGTGCTGAAGTGCTTGAAGTTTGTTGTGCGAGCTCCGCTAGTGGCCCAGCATGATGAGACACCTTTCACGACGGTCATATGAGCACTGTCAGTGATTCAGCTTTACTCAGCTCACGCTGATGTGGGCCTTCCACAACCTTGGAGACAGTGTTGTTTTCGTGAGATATTGCTAGGACACAGAGGCTGCGCATTCTGCACCCAGAGTCACCGTGGGGTCCGAGTATGGCCTCCTGGTGCTACGGGCTGCAGAGACTGCATTGCAACAGCTTCGCTGTGGCCATGCTCTTTTCCCAGCTGGCTTCTTGTGAGCTCTGCTGGTATCACCGCATGAGACAGCCAAGAGTTTGTTACAGTCCATGGTGCTGAAGTGCTTGAAGTTTGTTGTGCGAGCTCCGCTAGTGGCCCAGCATGATGAGACACCTTTCACGACGGTCATATGAGCACTGTCAGTGATTCAGCTTTACTCAGCTCACGCTGATGTGGGCCTGTCGCAGGCTTGGAGATTGTTGTTTTCTGAGGTAGATACTGCTAGGACACAGAGGCTGCGCATTCTGCACCCAGAGTCACCGTGGGGTCCCGAATATGGCCTCCTGGTGCTACGGGCTGCAGAGACTGCATTGCCAACAGCTTCGCTGTGGCCATGCTCTTTTCCCAGCTGGCTTCTTGTGAGCTCTGCTGGTATCACCGCATGAGACAGCCAAGATTTGTTACAGTCCATGGTGCTGAAGTGCTTGAAGTTTGATGTTTTGCTAGCTCCGCTGGTGGCCCAGCATGATGAGACACCTTTCACGACGGTCATATGAGCACTGTCAGTGATTCAGCTTTACTCAGCTCACGCTGATGTGGGCCTTCCACAACCTTGGAGATAGTGTTGTTTTCGTGAGATATTGCTAGGACACAGAGGCTGCGCATTCTGCACCCAGAGTCACCGTGGGGTCCGAGTATGGCCTCCTGGTGCTACGGGCTGCAGAGACTGCATTGCCAACAGCTTCGCTGTGGCCATGCTCTTTTCCCAGCTGGCTTCTTGTGAGCTCTGCTGGTATCACCGCATGAGACAGCCAAGAGTTTGTTACAGTCCATGGTGCTGAAGTGCTTGAAGTTTGTTGTGCGAGCTCCGCTAGTGGCCCAGCATGATGAGACACCTTTCACGACGGTCATATGAGCACTGTCAGTGATTCAGCTTTACTCAGCTCACGCTGATGTGGGCCTTCCGCAACCTTAGAGAGAGTGTTGTTTTCGTGAGATATTGCTAGGACACAGAGGCTGCGCATTCTGCACCCAGAGTCACTGTGGGGTCCGAGTATGGCCTCTGGTGCTACGGGCTGCAGAGACTGCAACAGCTTCGCTGTGGCCATGCTCTTTTCCCAGCTGGCTTCTTGTGAGCTCTGCTGGTATCACCGCATGAGCCAGCCAAGAGTTTGTTACAGTCCATGGTGCTGAAGTGCTTGAAGTTTGTTGTGCGAGCTCCGCTAGTGGCCCAGCATGATGAGACACCTTTCACTTTCACGACGGTCATATGAGCACTGTCAGTGATTCAGCTTTACTCAGCTCACGCTGATGTGGGCCTTCCACAACCTTGGAGATAGTGTTGTTTTCGTGAGATATTGCTAGGACACAGAGGCTGCACATTCTGCACCCAGAGTCACTGTGGGGTCCGAGTATGGCCTCCTGGTGCTACGGGCTGCAGAGACTGCATTGCCAACAGCTTCGCTGTGGCCATGCTCTTTTCCCAGCTGGCTTCTTGTGAGCTCTGCTGGTATCACCGCATGAGACAGCCAAGAGTTTGTTACAGTCCATGGTGCTGAAGTGTGCTTGAAGTTTGTTGTGCGAGCTCCGCTAGTGGCCCAGCATGATGAGACACCTTTCACGACGGTCATATGAGCACTGTCAGTGATTCAGCTTTACTCAGCTCACGCTGATGTGGGCCTTCCACAACCTTGGAGATAGTGTTGTTTTCGTGAGATATTGCTAGGACACAGAGGCTGCACATTCTGCACCCAGAGTCACCGTGGGGTCCGAGTATGGCCTCCTGGTGCTACGGGCTGCAGAGACTGCATTGCCAACAGCTTCGCTGTGGCCATGCTCTTTTCCCAGCTGGCTTCTTGTGAGCTCTGCTGGTATCACCGCATGAGACAGCCAAGAGTTTGTTACAGTCCATGGTGCTGAAGTGCTTGAAGTTTGTTGTGCGAGCTCCGCTAGTGGCCCAGCATGATGAGACACCTTTCACGACGGTCATATGAGCACTGTCAGTGATTCAGCTTTACTCAGCTCACGCTGATGTGGGCCTTCCACAACCTTGGAGATAGTGTGTGTTTCGTGAGATATTGCTAGGACACAGAGGCTGCGCATTCTGCACCCAGAGTCACCGTGGGGTCCGAGTATGGCCTCCTGGTGCTACGGGCTGCAGAGACTGCATTGCCAACAGCTTCGCTGTGGCCATGCTCTTTTCCCAGCTGGCTTCTTGTGAGCTCTGCTGGTATCACCGCATGAGACAGCCGAGAGTCTTGTCACAACTCCTGCATGGTGTTGTTGTGCCTTCAGGTTGACAGTTGGCAATGGAGCCCTACACCCTCGACTCTCAACCTTCGAACCTAAACCCTAAACCCTAAACCGTAAACCCTAAACCCTAAACCCTAAACCCTAAACCCTGAAGTTTCTAACGCTGCCGGGGTCAGAGTCGGTTCGCACTTGGGATGAGTGGGCGCGCAGGTCTGATAGTTTCATGTTGGGAAATGGCATCACCTCATCCAATCCTCCCTCTACCTTAGACCCTAACCGCCATACTGCACCCTAAACCCTAATCCCTTCACCCTCAACCCTAAACCCTAAACTTTAAACCCTAAACCCTAATCCCTAGTTCGTCTCCAGTTGGTCGTGCTTTGGCCCAGGCTCCACGAGGCCTATGAGTGTCTCCTGGAGGCCGAGAAGGAAGCGCCCCTGCTTCGGGGTTAAAGTCTGTATGGGGCTTCCGGCTGTTCGGATGCAGAGTATGGGTTGGGATGTTCCCCCCTATACTACAGTCCCTAATACGGCTTATACAACCCCTATGATCATCCCTATTAAGGACTGTTCGTATAGGGGGAACATCCCAAAGGGAGGGCTTACAGGCTAAACCCTAAACCCTAAACCCTAAACCCTCAAACCCGGCTCTGGGGGAAGGATTTCTGCGCTGCTTGCGTTGGGGAAGTGGATCCCGCAGGGCCTTAGTGCCGGAGTGAGCTGAACCACAAACCCCGAAGCCCCAAATCCTAAACCCCAAACCCTAAACCCCGAACCCCAAACCCTAAACCCCGAACCCTAAACCCTAAACCCCAAATCCTAAACCCCAAACCCTAAACCCCAAACCCTAAACCCCGAACCCCAAGCCCTAAACCCTAAACCCCAAATCTTCTTTGTGGTGCTTTACTGTAACTTTAGATCCTTGGCCATTTTGGGTTTACTGGGTTTCCTAGTAAGGCAGCTAAAAATTTAATTTATAGCTACCCTCCTAAGTGCAGCCAAATCTTATAAACGCACGAACAGGCCCTAAACCCTAAACCCTAAACCCTAAACCCTAAACCCTAAACCCTAAACCCTAAACCCTAAACCCTAAACCCTAAACCCTAAACCCTAAACGCACGAACAGGACCTTTTGGAGTGCTCGGGCGCTCTGGCCCTCGTGGGGAACAGCAAGGCCAGGAGTGAAGCGCAAGGTTGCGTCTAGGAAATGGTGCGGTTTACTGTAGGGTTTAGGGTTTAGGGTTTAGGGTTTAGGGCTTAGGGTTATTTAGGGTTTAGGGTTTAGGGTTTAGGGTTTAGGGCTTAGGGCTTAGGGTTATTTAGGGTTTAGGGTTTAGGGTTTAGGGCTTAGGGTTGTTTTCGAACTATGCGCGTGACTGCTGACTTGAGCGGCGGGGCAGGAGCGGGAGTGCTGCCAGTTGACAGATTCGCAGCTTCCCCTGCCTGCGATTTCGATGCGTTACGAGCACAGTAACTCTGACTCATCCCAAAACGCTCAGCAAGAATATGGGGTGCATTCTTGCCTGTCCGCTTCTACGGCGGTGATCCTCAGGATTTATCACAAGCTCAGGCCCCTGTCATCACTCACATTGTCGCCTTTTCGAAGCAGAACATGCCAGCTAGGCATTTGCATCCTCACCCTAGGGTTTAGGGTTAGGGTTTGGGGTTTAGGGTTTAGGCGCAGCTGGCCAGGTCTTATCCAGCGGCTTCGACTTGAAGACGATGATGCAAGGCACTCGCACTGGGTGCTGCAGGTGGTCCTAGGGTTTAGGGTTGGGGTTTAGGGTTTAGGGTTTAGGGTTTAGGGTTTAGGGTTTAGGGTTTAGGGTTTAGGGTTTAGGGTTTAGGGTTTAGGGTTAAGGTTTAGGGTTTAGGGTTTAGGGTTCAGGGTTCAGGGTTCGGGGTTTAGGGCTTAGGGTGGAATCGAAACCTCCCCAAGCGCCCCATGAGGGCCTCCGGGTATCGTAAGGTTTTGAGGATTGACTGTGCTTTATAAAGGCCTGGGGTTTAGGGGTTGACGGGTTTAGGGGTTTTAGGGGTTTTCGGGTTTTAGGGTTTTAGGGTTTCAGGGCTTCAGGGTTTTAAGTTTTTAGGGTTTTTAGGGTTTTTAGGGTTTTAGGGTTGTAGGGTTCGAGGGTTCCGCGCACCAAAAAGACCGGCTCAGGGCGCTCGGGATAGGGCTCAGGGCTTCTCGTAGTCATGACTGGGGTTTAGGGTTTAGGGTTTAGGGTTTAGGGTTTAGGGTTGAGGTTTAGGGTTTAGGGTTTAGGGTTCAGGGCTTCTGTGCCCTGTAAGCCCTTCTTAAGCAACAAAGATTCCCAGACGGAAGTCATCTTGGGGTTCGGAGTGAGCTGCCCTAAACCCTAAAAGCCCGTCTGAACCACATTCGCCCTACCAGCCCCTGTACAAACCTTACAAACCCCTTGACAACCCAGATGCAGCGAGACCTTGTCCCCTAAACCCTAAACCCTAAACCCTAAACCCTAAACTAAACCCTAAATCTTCCATGCGAAGAGAAGGCTCTTGTACCTTTTGTCCGGTACCTCCCACAGAGGCTGGCCGTCTGAAAGGGCCCAACGCCGTGCGCCGTCCTTGATGACATATAGGGTTTAGGGTTTAGGGTTTAGGGTTTGGGGTTTAGGGTTTAGGGTTTGAGTTCCAGCTCCAGCCCGAGATCCACCAGTCTGCTGAACTCAACAAACGGGGGCTCCCTTGGCAAACCCTAAACCCTTTCGATGCACCTGGGCAGCCACCGACCGCCGCAAGCTGCACATGTGTCGCAGGGGTTTGCTGTCGAAGTCTCCTTTTTGGAGAGGAGAGAAGAAATTCAATTGGGATTGCCCAGTTACACTTAAAAGTCCATGCCACACAAAAGAACCTATGACATATAAGCCCTATGGCCCCTACAAAGTCTACGTACAAATCCTATAAACCCTACACTGTAAGCCCTAACTACCCTCTAAACCCCAAGAAACCTAAGAGCCCTAAACCCTAGAAGCCTGATACACTACTGTTTGCTTAAGAACCCCCCCTCAAAAAAAAAGCAAAAACATGCAAGTTAATAGTTCCTATATTACCCGCATAAGGAAGAATGTTATTTTTATTTTTTACGTTTTTGGGGTTTCTTTAGCAATTCGTGGTAAACCAGCAGAGCTTCAATGTCGCGCGCCAGGTCCCGAGGCTGCCAAGCAGCTGATCAACGATGCTTGGCTCTACAAAGTTGGGGTTTGGGGTTTGGGGTTTAGGGTTTAGGGTTCAGGGTTAGGGTTTAGGGTTTAGGGTTTAGGGTTTAGGCTTTAGGCTTTAGGCTTTAGGCTTTAGGCTTTAGGCTTTAGGGTTTAGAGTTCAGGGTTTAGGGCCCCTCTGACTGGCCTTGTCTAGGTTACCTCCCCTCAGCCTTCAACCCTAAACCCAAGCCCGATGACACATTGACTGTTAAGTCCAATTCAAAACCCGTTAACCCTAACCCTACACCCTAAACCCATCTTAACACCTAGCTCCAAAGCCCTCGTCAGCTCCAACACCTCTACGCCCTGAAGGCCGTAAGATGCCCCAAACCCTAAACCCTGCAAACCCTACGCTCTTAAAAACCGATCTACTGTCACCTTAAACTTCCTACACCCTAAACCCTAAACCCCCTGACCCCCTAAACCCTAAACATTGTTTGTCAACCTTAAAGGTAGTCGTGGGCAAGGCCCATGTTTTCGTGGGCAAGGCCCGAAAATTCGTGAGCCAGACCCATTTGGCGGATTTAGGCCTATGCCCACAATTTTTTTGGCCTTTGCCCATGAGTTTTTGGGCCTGTGCCCACGATTTTTTGGGCCTTTAGTTTGTGGGCAAGGCCCATTATTTCTTGGGCAAGGCCCAAAATCTCATGGGCAAGGCACCCAAATTCGTGGGCATAGGCCCCAAAAATGATAGGCCCAAGAATTCGTGGGTAGGCCCGGCGGCGTAGGGTGTGAACCCTGAGACCCTAAACCCTTGAGACCCTAAACCCTTGAGCCCATAAACCCCTGAGACCCTAAACCCTTGAGACCCTAAACCCTTGAGACCCTAAACCCCTGAGACCCTAAACCCTTGAGACCCTAAACCCTTGAGACCCTAAACCCTTGAGACCCTAAACTCTTGAGACACTAAACCCTTTCGTTTCGGATTTCCACCTTCTGGTTTGTTAAGTGGTGGTCAGTAGTCTTGTTTTTGAGCCATCCCAATCATAAGAAGAAACTTTGTATTTTCTCAATGTTACGGGAACTCCGGGTGGGTGGGTATTTTTCGATGTTCTAAGCGACGAGCCTAAACGAGAAGCTGCTCGACCAGTAGCTCTTGAACCCTAAATCCTAAACCTAAACCCCCTGACCCCCTAAACCCTAAACCCTAACCCCTAACCCCTAACCCCTAAACCCTAAACCCTAAACCCTAAACCCTAAACCCTAAACCCCAAACCCCAAACCCCAAACCCCAAACCCTAAACCCTAAACCCTAGCCCTAAACCCCAAACCCTAAACCCCAAAAACCCTCAAGAGCCTCGTTGCGGCTGAACGAGGCGGGCGCCGCGCTGATCGAGCGTCTGGTCCTCTTCCCTCGGCCGGTGGTCATCGGAGCCACGGGTGCCTTCGAGGGCTTAGGGTTTCGTTTTTGTTTTAAAGGGCTGTTTAGGGTTTAGGGTTTAGGGTTTAGGGTTTAGGGTTTAGGGTTTAGGGTTTAGGGTTTAGGGTTTAGGGTTATCGGAGCCACAGGTGCCTTCGAGTTGATGAGGGTTTAGGGTTTCGGGTTTAGTTGTCTTGGATTTGTTTTAATACAGGGCTTTTGTGTTTAGTTATTTTGTTGTGGGGTTTTTAGGGGTTTGAGTGTTTATGGGTTTTTTTTTGCCGGGGAGGGGGGGGGTTAGGGTCTAGAGGGCTTCGGGTTTTACGGAGCCATATGGGACCCAGTATCTCGGGTAGCTAGCCCAAAAAGGGGGCCATGATTTCAAGAACTCGCCATGTGCACATCTGCGACAGTTAGTGCTCACGCAGTTGTTTCTTCGGCTCAGGCAGGCAGCTCTGGACAGGGTGCTCGACCAGGGTGTCAAGACTGAGGTACTGTTAAGCGCTCTCATGGCATCAGCTGTCGTTACAGTGGAGACGCAAGATGCATCGCCACCTAGTGACGCCAAGCGGACATCAGAGCTTCAACTCGTGCAGGATGGCAGAGACACCAAGTTCTTATCATCGGCAAAGGTTGCTGCTTTGATGGAGAACGGCGATGACATCAAGAGCAAGATCGAGCCTGTGTGGATCAACGTTGCGGTGTTGGCTGCATTCATGTGCTCGGTCTCGGCCAGCTTCTTAACAGCAGAGATTCAAGATCCGGTTCTGCTCGAAGCGGTGCTGATGACGAGCTACTTGTCCGTGCTGCTCCTGATGGCTTCGGTGGTCCTTCTCACGATAAACCTCTACCTCCTGTGCTTCACAACCGACGTCAGAGCTGTGATCCTATGGCTTGGCAGGCGATGCTCGATACCCATCATCTTCTGCTTCGCAGGGATCGTTCTCATGCTGGCAGCCATCATCTTCCTGCTGCGTGCTCGGTTAGGGGATCGGCCATCTTTCTGGGTTATAGTAGGCATCACGCTTGTGACCTTTGTGTACTGCTTTTACTTCTTGGCTACTTCCCAGAGGATGAACCTACGGCAGTTAAATGCTGATTTGGATGCAAAGCTGGCAGACCTCAAAAAGCAATAGCTCATCGGAAATCCTGCACGCAATCCAGCAAGATTCGAGAGTTCAAGTTGTAAGCCTCAGTTCCGGCATCGGCAGTTCCTGCAAACACTCACGAGCAGCTTGGTTGAGGTCATGCATGCGGCTGACGTTTGCACACTCTTGGGCCAACAGGCAGGAGCTCAAGGATCCTAGCCCGTCAAACAGTGTAGAGTATAGGGCCTAGGGTGTAGAGCGGCATTGTTTCAAGCTGCATCTGCCAAACCAGAGATGTGTATGCCGCAGAATTGGGTTGTGCAATCTCGGCAGCTGATTTGGGCGCATTTCGCAATGAAGGGCCCTTCACTATATGAGGGTTTCCGAAAATGGGAGTACCCTTTTTGGGGGTCCCTTTAAGGGGATTCTATTCTATCTGGGTAAACAAGGGGTACCCCCATTTTGAGAAATACCCATATTATTCCCTGTTTTGGAGCCGTTGGCGGTCGTCCGGGTTGGCAAAGCCAAGGCTAATGACGAACGCGCGTTTTGCTGCGCCTTGGGACGAACAGTCCTGTCGTGCGAGTGAACACTAGGTCGCACTTTTACCTTCATTCTAAACCCTAAACCCTAAACCCTAAACCCTAAACCCGCATTGCTCTTTGTTTGATATGGGCCGGGACACACACGAGCCTTGTGCCTTGTATTCAGGGCACCGGGACATGGCACTGCCCTGTGTGCCTCCCGAGCCACCGCCCTCACCCTATACACCCGGCCTGACAACCTCTGACGACGCAAAGGTGCACTCCAAAACCGAAAGACCCAATGCCCCCAAATCCCGAAAACCCTAGCCTAAACCCTATAAACGATATACCCTAAACCCTAAGCCCTCAACCCCTAAACCTCCTAAACCCTAAACCCCTAAACCCTCGACCCGCAACCCCAAGCCCTTAACCCCCAAAAAACCCGCAACCGGAACCCCTAAACCCCAAACCCCTAAACCCCCTGAACCCTAAACTCCTACACCCCCCAAACCCTAAGCCCCCAAACCCTAAACCCTAAACCCTAAACCCTAAACCCTAAACCCTAAACCCCCTAAACCCTAAACCCCTACACCCCCCCAAGCCCTAAGCCCCCAAACCCTAAACCCTAAACCCTAAACCCTAAACCCCTACACCCCCCGAACCCTAAGCCCCCAAACCCTAAACCCAAAAGCCCTCTCCGCAAGGCCATGCCATAGCCTTGGGGGCATTTGCCTTGCTCACAGGCCGGGTGAGTTTAGGGTTTAGGGTTTAGGGTTTAGGGTTTGCTGGGTTTCGGTTTAAAGAGGCTTCGGTTTCAGGGTGTTGGGTCTAGGGTTTAAGGTTAAGGGTTTAGGATTGAGGGTTCAGGGTTCAGGGTTTTTAGGGTTTAGTGTTTAGGTGCACTTCCCTAGTGCTCTTTGTCCTCGTAGCATATTGCCATTGTGAGGACTTTTGCTTGAACAAACCCCAAACCTTAAACCCGAAACCCTAAACCCTAAACCCAACAAAACTCACTAGTTTAGGTGGTCGGTTCTGGGGATACCCACTTTTTGGTTGTGGAGGTTTGAGGCGCCCTATGACAAAAGCGAGCTTGAATGTGGGGGTTTCCGAAATTAGGGTTTAGGGTGCAGGGTTTCCGAAATTAGGGGTAATTTCTTGGGGTCCTTATTAGTAGAAATGATAGTGATTACGATGATTACGGTTTCGGACGTCTATTTTCTGTCCCCCAAACCCCAAACCCTAAACCCTAAACCCTAAATCCTAAACCCTAAACCCGAAACCCTAAACCCTAAACCCTAACACACGTAGCCCTCGATCTGCACTCCTTACGCTGGAAGGGGACTACCGCATCGGCGCGGCCACCGCTGCTGGGCTAGGGTTTAGGGTTTAGGGTTAGGGTTTAGGGTTTAGGGTTATAGGGTTTACGGTTTAGTGTTTAGGGTTTAGGGTTCAGGGTTCAGGGTTTAGGGCTTAGGGTTTAGGGCTGCACAACACTTATCTTCAGGGTGCAGGGCCATGGCGGCGACAGGGGTTTAAGGGTGTATTCGGATTTTGACCGAATAAGCCGAACAGGCCCCCAATGGGGTTCCAGCTGCAGTCGAGGTTTTTGAATGCCACCGCGCCACTGCGAAAGAGATGCAACTTGAGCCTAATTACCAAGTCCGAGCACAAAGTCAGTCGAAGGGCCTCTGCCAGTACGCAGCCCCTCTACTGAGCTTTAACTCGAACCCCCAACCCCCCGCCAACCCCCGTCCCCCCGGAAGCCAAGGTTGCGGGCAAGCCGCTCAAAGTTGGTTTGAACGAAACTGCCAATGGCATGCCCCTTCGAGCCGCATTGAGATGAGATCTTTTTGGGATTCAGGATGTCGGGCTGATGGGTTTATGGTTAGGGTTTAGGGCTTGCTGAGTTTGCTGCAAGGTTTCAGGGTTCAGGGTTTAGGGTTAGCCTTACGCCGAAACGGTTGCAATCCACATATGGTGGTCACGGTCACAACTTTCGATGCCACCGCACATGATCAATTCGGGGACCACGACGCCTGAACAAACTTCAGTAAACATGGCATTGTGATTTCTTGGCCCGAAAAGAAGAACATAGAGTCCGGCTCGTAAACGGTGTTGTATGGTGGCTCCTCTGCGCGACGACTTTGCTCCTCGATAATGACGAGCTCTCCGGTTCAAATAAACCCTTAACCCTGAATGTCTAAGGCCTCGAGAAACCCTCCAAGCCCCAAAGCCCCAAACCCCAAACCTCCAAAAAGTCTCAAGCCCTGAGCCCTAAACCCCGGAATCCCCAATAAACCGCCCAACATCCAAACCCCAAACCCTAAGCCCCTCCTCCCTACTCCTCCTCAAGCCCTCAAGTGCCGTACCTGAGGTATATGAGCTGGGGTTAAGTTAGCCTGCTTCTCACCTTCTCCTTGAACCCCAAACCCGCAACCCTGAACCCCAAACCCCAACCCCAAACGCGAAAACCAAAAACCCTAAAGCATCTTACCAACCTTATGTCTTCCCCTTTCTTGGGTTTAAGAGGATCATATTGAGAATATATTCAGAGGGCTTCAAAAGGGCCATCCCACCATTCCTCCACTTTCCAGGAACATGCCCAACTTCTTCTGCGAAGGTGCAAGGCACCTTTCAGGGTTTAGGGTTTAGGGTTTAGGGCCTTTCAAAAGAAATGTTCGGGTAGGCGAGGGTTTAAGGTTTGGGGTGGAGGGGGTGGGGGGGGGGAGAGAATGGGTGTTGGGGATCTGGAGATTTAGGGGTTTTGGGTTTCGAAGAGGGGGGGGGGGGGGGGGTGGGGTTTGGAGATTTAGGGGTTTGGGGGTTGTTGGTTGAGGGCTCTGTGAAGGTTAGGGCTTGGTCGGTTTGGGGAGTTAGGGTCTTTAGGGTTCCGGAACGGGTTTAGGGTTTAGGGTTTAGGGTTTAGGGTTTAGGGTTTAGGGTTTAGGGTTTAGGGTTTAGGGTTTAGGGTTTAGGGTTTAGGGTTTAGGGTTTAGGGTTCCGCGGGTTTTGTTCCAGAGTACATTGGGAAATCAAAGCGGCGAGTGGATGTGTCCGTGGCGATTTGTTGCATGTGTCGTATACTACGGAGACACCTTGCAGCCTACACTGCCCAAGGTAGGCAGGCCGATCCCTGAGCCCGAACCCTCTGCCGTGCAGGGTTTGGGGGTTTAGGGTTCAGGGTTTAGGGGTTTGGGGTTTGGGGTTTGGGGTTCAGGGTTTAGGGTTTAGGGGTTTGGGGTTTAGGGTTCAGGGTTTAGGGTTTAGGGGTTGGGGTTTAGGGTCTGGGGTTTGGGGTTGAGGGCTTTTAATGGCTTTTAGGGTCTAGGGTGAGGGTACCTCGGGCTCCTTCAAGAGGCACTGACAAAGCATTGTATACGTCACGCTGGGCTATGCTTGCCAGGCAGCCGAAACCCCAAAACCATAACTCCTACACCCTTTAACCCTTATGCAGGGTAGATTGTCAAGATGCGTAGGCCCCTAAACCCCAGGCAGGAAATCCTAAACCCCAAACCCTAAGCCCTAATCTCTAAGCCCTAAGCCCTAAGCCCTAAACCCTAAACACTACACCCTAAACCCTAAACCCTAAACCCTAAACCCTAACCCCATCCGGGAGCTTTCTAGCCTTGGCCTTAACTCGCAGTGATGTGCAGGGCGGCCCTTGCGCCACAGTACCTGAGGCCAGGGATGGTTCATCCTCACAGTCGGGGTTTAGGGTTTAGGGTTTAGGGTTTAGGGTTTAGGGTTTAGGGTTTAGGTTTTAGGGTTTAGGGTTTACGATATTAGGGGTACCTCATTGCGGCCCTTATTATAAGGGGTCTCACTACTTGGGGGTCTACATTAGGGGTCCCTTATTCTCGTAAACCCGCAAGGTGGACTGGCTTTTGGGTGTTCAGGGTTTCGTTTAGAGTTTTCCTGAGGGTGTACCATGGTTCAGGCGTTTCAGGGGTTTAGGGTCAGGGTTCAGGGTTTTTAGCTGAGGGTTGGGGTGTACTTTGCGCAGCGGCGCCCGCTTAGCTTCCCAGCTGCTGTGGGTCCTTCACTAGGCGACGTGGGTGATGTCTTGGGGAAGTATGGCCCTAAACCCGAAGCCCTAAACCGTCATTCAGATGACGACCGCTATGCACCCAATCCTCAGCACCGTGAGCTGTCATTTCCCACCGAGCATGGAAGTTGGATTTCGTGGTCGCCTACTGTATAGCCATAAAGCAAATCTCTGGGCTCACCCCAAAACTTAGGGTCAATAAAATTTAGGGTTCAGGGTTTAGTTCAGAGAAGGGACTAAGCATACCGCAGCTGCGTGGCATCTGCAAGAAATTGCTGATTTTTGAACCATGTTGTCCCGAAACCTCTCTGGATTCTCCAGGGATTTTTGAACCACGCTGTGGGACATTTACCGTGCACGACTTCCAAGATGCGCTTGGCAGATCATGTTCGCAGGCCAGTTGCAATGGGAAGAGTCTTTGCCAAGTCCCGCAAGCCGTCCGGGCTCCAGGGCTTCAGGCCCGCGAAGAAAGCCCTCGC